CCACATGTGATTATCGGCCAGGCTGGCACAATTAACTAACTCAATGACAGTGAACGGTTTTTTGTAATAATATTTTTATTAACATATCTTACTCATTCCAGTATATCCCTACCCTTCCCATACAGTTCTGGTTGTTCAATCCCACTGCGTGGGGCTATACAGTCATCAGTGCTATCAACTCCCCCACCCTCAGGGAACTGCTATGCCTGTCAGTCTCTGAGGGCTCATCTACCATGTACCGAGCAGTCTTAAAATGTACAGATGAACATACGCAAGTCTAACGTGACCAATGAGGTATATCACATGCGGACCACAATAGTAAGGGGAGGAAATCTTAAGGAACTAGAGGATAGTTATGTGGTTCATCAGTGCCACACCACACCCTGGATTTATCCTCCATTCCATGAGGCCTACTAAGAGGGACTGTCCAATTGTCTTACTGGTGGACTCTGGTTCTCCACTACATCCACTCCCCTTCTCATCAGTTTGGATGTGTGGTTTTTTAACTTGTGATACTCTTCCCATAGACATCTCATGATCTCAGACTGGTGTGCTTCTTGTGAGCTTTGTTGCATCTTTGCTAAATGGCTGCTTATTTAACACCAAGCCTTTACGACCCCAGATGCTATAACTTTTGATAGCTGGGCACCATCAGCTTTCATTACCGCATTTGCTTGTGCACCCATTTTGTCTTCAGGGATGATCGGGTCAGGGAGGTGGTTATCATACAGTGCCACATTATTAGAACAACCAGTCTTGTACAGAGGTAAGGTTTAATTAGAGTGTGGGGTACTAGCCTCCACAATCAAACAGGTCCAAGGGGCAGTTGTGTAATTAAGGGATAAAAATTAAAGAGACATCAGACAAAATAAAGAATGTGAATGCTCACCTCCAGAACAGCCATGATTTCAGCAGCCAGATCCACAGAGAGAGAGAATATATTTCCAACCAAGGCTTATGTACACTCGGGATGTGCAAGTCCCCCTAATTACAGGTAACCACATGCATACCAGAAAGGGGCTGCGCAATAGGCATACCCCTGACAGGAAGTAGACAAGCTAGGTGTATACATGAAATAGGAAGGGGAAGCACTGGGGGCATACATGTGACAGGAAGGCACAAATGTAACGAGATGGGCGGGCTCAAGAGTCAAGATGGCGGCCTAACTTTGGTCGTCCCTGATTTGGCTTGACCTTAGGTGTCTCCGGGCGATCCTTCAGGGAACCATCCATTATCTATATCAAAAAGGAGTGGGCTCTACTTGGGTGGGACACACTATAGGTTCTGATTCCTCTAGGTGGCTGAGAACCTTCAGGCAGATGACCTTTAAGCAATTGACCTCCAAGTGTATAGTTAGTGACCATGTGTTAGCAAACAGCACCTTAGGTTTGGCATATATTATGGGGGGACAGCCTGCGGAATAACTTTTCTGTTTCCCACTGTAGAGGCCCAAAGTTCCTATGTTTCCTTGTTGCATTTACATGTATATACATATAGAAACAAATATACACGTTTATACATATGTGCTTATATATATTGGGTTTTGTTTTCTCCTCCCCCACTATTGTGCTTACCTGTCATTCACCTCTCAGTACTTCCTCTCATACAATTTGATCAAACACATCCAGAAAAGCAATACCCTCCTCTGGGTCCATTTTAGAATTCTTACTCTACCCCTGTACCCGTCATTGTTGTCTCCCTGCCCCCCTTCTCCCTTCCCCTGCCCCCCAAGAATCTTCGGTCTGGCTGCTGTCTCCTTAAGACTGTCCAAACTACTTTTCTTGTATAAATCAACACCAAAAAATACCAACAAAATAAGAATAAAAACACAGCCAAAAATAAACGCCCACCAACATACAGATAGCCACCCAACTAACAGAGATCGTGACATAGTGCCGCAGTCGTGTTGAAAAGGCGAGTTTCCCCTCGGTCCACATTGCCATTCCCGCAGTCCGGGACGGGGCATCTTGTGCCCACCACCCCGTCCATTTACGCCGTAGACTTTCAGTGTGGCCCCCTTGTGAGTTCTGCTGAGGAGCCAAGCGTTGCCTCCCGACTCAAAAGTTCACACTCGGGTTCCTCCCATCACTGATCTGTTGTGCTCCCCTCCTAGCCTACCCCCATGAGAATGCCCTTTGTCCCCCAGCCTGGGTGTAGGTAATTCTATACAAAGCTTATTGCTGGCTAGCCTGCACAGGTGACATCCACTAGGCCCAGTATGCCGGCTGCATGTGCCCATCAGTGGGTAGTTGTGCCACCTCTGCTGTCCTTGTTGTTGCCCTTAGCACTACCCTTTTCCTTCCTGTAGCCCAGGCAGGAGCCAGAAAAGGCACTCGGCAAGATCACGTGCGTTTGCTGCTTTTTCCATTTTCTGTCACGTCTAAGCTTCAAACTGCGGCGGCGTCAGGAAAGCAGCATTGAGAAGCTGATGAGGTGGTTCCCATGAGCCGCCCCTGGCCTGCCTGGAAGTGGGCCAGAGGCACAGTTGCCCGTGTAGAGTCTGGTGCTGAGCTCTAGCACTTCCGGGGCCTGTGATGACTAGACCAAAACAGTGGCCCAGGTCAGTGGGCACTGGAAGAAGGTTCTGCTTGGCTAAGCAGCGTCTCTGGGCAGAATGAGATTTTTTTTCTTTCTTTTTTTTAAGATTTTGTTTTTTCTTGGTGTCTCCTAGGGACCATATTTTAAAAAGTTTAAAGTAAAAATTTAAAAGTTGTGTGTTACTACCCTACCTCTAGTAAAATGAAAATATCTCCCAAAATGGGGGTGAGTGGGAAAACTGGTGTGTGGCGCTGTGAGGCAGGCGTAGCCCTGCAAGCCCAACTCGCCAGGGTCTCGGGGCGTCTTCAGAGGGACCGCTTCAAGTTTGGTCTTCGCTTTCCTTCCCAGAAAAAGAATCTTTTTGCATTCTTTGACATGGCCTACCAAGGCTTCGCCAGTGGAGATGGTAACAAGGACGCCTGGG